CAGCACATTTCCAAGAAAGGAAAGTGTTCTCTGGACAAAGTGCTTCCTTGTGTGTTGTTTGCGACGAGCATCGTTCCGCCTCCATGTGGTCGACATTCATACGAGGTCGACAGAACAGACACGCGTGTGGATGCAAATGAAACATGTACTTTAGTGTTACTTTTTGCTCCACTTCATTGGCGTTACACGCAAGTGGTGCACAGTGTGCGTTCTGTATGTGAGGGCGGCCGGTGGTGGTATGAGGACACCGTGACCTGAGACACATGCTGCACTCAGGCTTCAGACACTCAGCGATAACCTGTATTTGTGTCATGTTTGTGATGAATTGTCCTCCTGCTCAAAGGGCTGTTAATATGTGTGCGTTTATCAGTGACACCATTTATATCACGCGCACCAAACAAATCAGACATCTTTCTGATGGTATATTTGACATTGAGAGCAGCGAGGAGGCCATGTGACTGCATTTCGTGTCTGCTGACTAACTGCACGGATGTGAGTGCTGCCGCGACTCGGACCGATGGAATCTGCGCCTCAGATGCCCACGAAGGGTGGAATCGTCTCTGAAATGATTTCCTATTGTGAACTGAAGACAAAAGACAGAAAGTCTGTCGGACCTTACAGCTTTCCTCGTGTAATGTTCATGGCACTACGAGCGATGCAACCACATTGGCTGCAGCCTTAAATCAGACGTGGCTCAATACATTCGGCCCACCGTGTTTCTTTGTTTAATAGCAGAGCAGATCGTTTTAACATAAGACACCTGCAGCTTGTTCCCTCAGTGATAAACCTTTGGAATGATTGACGAGGTTGTTGGTGTTGAAATGTTTCAGAAGTAAACAATCCAATCAGCTGCTGCCCAATCCGTCCGTCAACGCACCAAGCGACCGTTTCACGTCGCTCACGTTCCCTCATGATCTGTGGCGTAGAGCCTTGACCAGCGCCGTAGAGCCTGTTTATACACCGATATGCAGCCGTGATCACACACACACACACACACACACACACACACTCTGTACCTCTGGCTGCTGTTGCTCTCTTCAAAGTTGTTAATATTAACACACAGCAGCACCCGTGGGGCCTGTAAGCGGCGCAGCTTACTGCCGCCACCTTTGGCTCCGTCTCTCTCTCCTCGGTTCCTCTCCTGCGGGCGGAGCAACAGCATCGGCTACTTTCTTTCCTTCTTTGTGCTGCCGATGTTCACGCAAACACAGAGCTGTGCCCCCGGGCCTCAGCGGGCAGATGCAGGCTCTCTGAAGGCCGGGGTCGTCATAGGAACGGGGCGCTCGCGGCAGGCCGGTTCCTGTCGCCTGCAGCGCCTGAGAGAAAAGGCCGTTTGGGCCGCGGTCACATCAGGAAGCGTCAGGAGATGCAAACGCTTGTTTCACCGTCAAGGGCCGGGTGGAGGTGCTGAACTGTAGGAGGAAAACACAACCCCCCCCCCGAGAAACAGAGACAAAGATGAAGCGGAATGAAGAAGAGAAGAAAGAGACGTAGCGCACGCTGGGAGCAGCAGATCGGGGCGTGACCCGCGTCCACATAAAAGCACCTGTCTGCAAAGACACATTCAATGTGTGTGTGTGTGTGTGTGTGTCTGTGAATGATGTACGGCTTGTGTTCACCGGGCCGTATTGTGGCCCGGCCCGCCTTCACCGGCGGGAATGATAAATTGCAGATGTCCACGGGATTCACCCGAGCACCTGTGGTCGCTCTCACATAACAAATAAATAACTAAGAGAGACACAAAAGGCCTCTTGGATGTGACTTTTTACTTCGGGGCTTGTTCAGGATGCAGTATTTGTTTTAGAGATGCTGCTTTTGTAAATGCACCTCTGACTTGAGTCAAGAAACCAGCTTTTGGGTTAAACTTCAACTTCAACTCGTTAACCAATAAGTCCTCTCTCTCTATTTTAACCTCTAATTTCTTGGTCTTTGTAAAATGTAATTCTTAAGAATTATTACAAAGAAGTCACGCTTACCTGCGTAAAAAAATCACTCTTTCAAAGATCTAAAAGTGAAAAATCAGTGTCTGATTTGAGAACGGGCACATTTTATTGCAGTTTTATTGGGCTAACTGACTTTGGATTCATGCAACACAAATGAACTAGTGGTTGTCTCATAGTTGGAGCTCCCTGGTGACTGCTGGGACGTAGGACGTGGTGTCTCTACCTCCTGTTAATCCATAATCACAGAGGAAAGACCTCCGACGCTCAATCATCACTTCACCTTCTTACGGCCGTTTTGCCTCTGAAGTCCTGGAGCTGCAGACGGGGGAGATCCAGCTTCCCGTGGAACCTCCAGCCTGCTGTGGGACGTCTGAATGGAATTCAGATTCAGATCACGAGGTTCTGATGGAATCACCGACGGGTTTCATTCCGGGAGCATTTCTTCAAGGAAGCTGTCCAACATTAGAAGCATTTATTGTGGCTCCAGGCGAGCGCTCCCTGCGGCCCGCTGGGCTCCGCTGGGACACGGGCGGGACACGGCAGGGACACGGCAGGGA